CGGTGGTAGGGAGGAAGGCGAGGGGGGAGGTGGTGGAAGGGCTCTGCACACTCTTAAAGTGAGCCACTAAATGAAGCATAATGCAAAATCAGGAGCATGGTTTTAAGCATAATAAGGAGGCGCCACCGGCACCCTTGTGCTGGTGGCGCGTAGATGGCAAATTTAATCTCAGGGTGACAGTTGGGGGAAAAAGAATTCGTTTCTTTCATTACATTAAGCGATTGCCGGCTACAAGAAAAACGAAGTTCATTAAAAAAGTATAACAAGATGGCGGACGAAATTCTCTTGCTAGAGAGGAATTATTCTTGACACCACTCTCCGCTTTATTTTTACTTTTCACACTAAAGCTCAATCACCGTTTAGCATCCTGGTTTAATTTTCATAAAATTATCAGTATAACACTTATTATCCACCAAGCATTGACAAGTTCTGCTTTAGTTTTTACTACTCAACATTACATTCCCCAGTTATCCAACATAATCAATGAAGAGGCAAAACATTTACCTTGGGGACATGAAATCTCTCACCGTCTGGGTAGGACAGTCAGGGTGAACAAAAGTCAATATACATTAAACCGGAACCCAACTTCTGTACAGCAAATAGCATTGTCAAAATTTGAATAAGAATCCATCGAGTACGCTGATGCGCTATGTTAGATTCAATATCCAAGTTTTCGTTCGCTTAAATTTGTTACTCCTTTGTTTGGAATTTTAAGAAGTTTCGGAGTTTTTATTTCAGCCAAATGTTGTGGTTAATTCACACGGGGGTTTAGACTCTAGCCTCTTTTTTCGTAGATGGATTTTTTACAGCCGGGATGATGATGGCAGTCTTGCTCATCCAAGTTATCGGGGTCATACACATGGAAAACTTGTGTGGAAATTGACACCTACGAAAAGTTTGAAACAAAAATTTTCTTTCAATGTCAATAAAAAATCCAGTACGCGAGAACCAAATGAGCCAATCACGTCAAAGAACTCTAACATTTACGTTGAAAACTGACGGGAACATTTTCTCGTTTTTTTGTTGTTTGTTTCACGAAGTTGTTACACCCTCCCACCAACGCAGCACCACGGTTTCTGCAAAAACGTACCCCCTTTATTAATATGACTTCCAGATAGATTACCCACTGGCTTATTCCAAGAATCCAAATCAATGCAGTGCGAATAGGGAAATTTTTTATTTGAGTGTCGAATGTGATGCCATATTACCTTGGCTTTCCTTCACTACACTATGTGCTTGTTCCGGAAAACGTGCGCCACTTTTTAAACCAGTCAGAATCAAAACTTAAACCAATCGCGTAAGGAAGAATTCCACCTTCCGAGCGTTCTATCCAGATTTAGATCACCGATAAGTATGAACGTGTGACACTTAAGTGACGCCCACATACAGATATCGTTTAATTCCTCCTCTACTCGTTCTAAGTAATGTAAAACTTGCTGACAGCCGCATTTCCTTAGGCGGGAGGGGGGCTGTACAATTCCACTAGAGTGATGTATTTGCTGCAAGTTTTTTGTATGCTTAGGTAACCTTTATTGAGCTCCTTTGAGGGCAGGTTGGAGTCCAAGTGTCCTATAAGTCCCCCATCTCCTTTCTTTCGACCTCTGCGGGGTGATACAATGTGTAGCCTGAAAAGGTAAATTGGCCTTTGGGATACGAATTGTCGATTTTAGTTTCTGAGATGAAAATGATGTGGGATTTCATCTCATTGTTCAAACGTTTCAGCTCATCACATTTGTTTTGTAAGTTGTTTATATTAAAATAGGTGATGAAGATCTGATTCGATTATTTTTCCCTTTCTTGGAGAAAGAGACTGTATTCCCGAGAAGGGTCATTAATTAAGTTTTTGTTCTCTTAGGACGGAGCAAAAGCATATTATCAGGGTCATTAGCATCTGATGTCAAGAGTGTATAACTTAAATAATCCTTTTCCGCAGTTTCTCCTTCCTCGTTGAAGAAGGAGTCACTGAGTGGCGGCAAAAACATATACTGGACATGTCAAGTCGATGGTTGGTCGATGTAGGAGGTATAATACTTGAAATAAGATAAAATAGTATTATCAACTGAGTTAATAATTGGCCACTATAAAGAGTTTAAAATCTGACGTTCCGAGCGCTAGCCTTTCCTCAGAGCGAATGGGGAAATTATGGGTTGTGTGTGTACTTATATGCAGAAAATGGAGCCACGCTATTGGTAGGAGCATGGTGAAAAGAAAGATAAGAATAAGTTAGTTGTATAACTAACTGTGTGTTTGAGAGTTTGCGACTTTCCGAACTTCCGAGACGTGGGGAAATTTGAAATTAGCGGGCTGTGCAGTGAACTACGACCCGCTAAACTGACCAAACATAGTTCACGTACCAGATTAGAACTATGATAATGTAGTAGTACCATGAAAATGTTTTTCAATAAAAGAGCTATTATGATGAGTACAGACTACCTTAATATAGGGCAAGTAAAGCCTAGACTTGAAGCCTTGAATGTAAAGACCGAATACGTTGTTTTTGGCACTCAACGACGAATCGCTTCGGCTACCTTGTCAAACGGGCCATTTAGCTTATTCCTCCGGGAGAATCCGATAAATCAAGCACAACATTACATACCTTGGTGTGATAATAGATGCAAATCTTAATTTTGGAATTCTATAGATCCCAAAATTTTTAATTACTTTTAAAGTTGGTGACTGTATTTAGGCTTTTTTTCAGTTTTTTTTTTTTTTTGCAGGGCCCTTATAGCAGCATAGCATAGCAGCATTTTATGCTGAAGAGGTCACCCTGGTTAAAAAACATGTATTATTATTATGATTATTATTGAAATAAAACACATCTTTCTTGCATTATCATTCGCAATGGCTTATGGAATGTGTTCAGTAGCAACAAGTGGCATAACGTTCATACGATTGAAGGGAAACTAAAGATTTTAAAACGTTACTTGGTCGAACCCTAATTTGATTTAACGATGTGTGTACTAACAACAAAGTGCAATTCTTGTACTAACAAGTTTATCATTCAAGGCTGATAAGTATGACGCCGAATGATGCAACCTGTGTTTGGAGTGAGCGTTATCTACCCTGCAATCATAATTCGAAGGTATCGTTTGCCCAAATTCGGTCGAAATAAAAGTTACCATCAGGTAAGCAGAGTTGTCAATCCTTATATAGGTCATCGATTCTGCCAACCGAATTAAGTTTCTTCACCGGAATTTTTAACCGGCGAACAGAGTTACGTCCAGATTAGTCTACTATTAAAAAATAATACAGTATATACTTCATGCGAAATGATATTATGTATTAAGAGCTGGTTGTTTCCGCTCAGAGTCTCACTACATATACAAGTACGAAGTATTAAGACAGAAACTGGAAATAGACTCTCAAAGATCATAACATTTGATACGATCGTTCTTTATTCAAAATGGTGGTCTCTCTAAAAACATATCTTCCTGTAATTTTCCTACATAAAAGCAAATCTTAGTTGTTTTGCCGGTCAAGTTTACAAGTTTTTAAACTAACACTAAAAAGTTTCACGAAATCGGTCAGCCAATAATAATTGTAGGAAACGTCTGCGTTTGCAGCTTATTTAGTTTGTTTCTTTCAATGCTGCCTAAACATAGGATTCTTGAGCTCCTTCTATTAATCAAAATTTGCAAATAAGCTCAATTTATTTTACAGGCAAACCATCTGAATACATTTATTCGTAATAAATCACTTTTCTATTTAAGTACCATACAAGAAACAAGACTAGATTTTGTATGAGTGATGCAATTGCGATCCAGTATCAAGGAAACAAAAGAACTGTATTGAAGAAAACTGCAAATTTTACCTATAGAAAATTCTGCAAAAGAAATATGTTACCTTAACAGGACAAACGAACATAACTGAACATTCACAAAACATCCCTAAATTAGGTGCCTTTCCAGAGATGGTTGGTGAAGGTATTCCACAAATAAGCCTTACATTTCGTGAAATCACAGTTCGCTACAAATAAGGTTTTATCGAGCACCAACTGTATTTGGTAAGAAGTTGTTTGGAAAGCGTGCGACAGCTTTAGGTTGTTAAAATTTCTGACGAGCTCTGACAACCGAAGGGTTGCTTAACGGTTTAGCTTTAAGTTGATCGAAAAATTTCCGCTTAAGATTTCAATCTTAAAAAACATTATGAGGAGACCAAGTATTCAATCAACTTTGTCGTAAAACTTTCAACTCTGTCCCGAGATCTGTAGTCCCATGGGCGATCATTTGCACTGTGCCGTTAAATATTTACTTCATTCAACCTCCTGGCAAAGTTTCTGTGTTTATTAAAGGCTAGCATGACAAAATATATTTTATCTTAACAGAACTTACTTATTTACAAAATCCCTCTTCTTTTTCGCGTTTAAGATGACTAAAAAGTAGACTCTACCAGATCCGAAGGTTGATAAAATCTCACTTCGATCGACTAAACAATTCGTTGAGAAAAATGTTCAAATTTTTCTTCAATAAGATATTTCTATGAACCATACGAAGACATCCATGAACTATATACATGGCCATCTGGAGTTACAACTCTGCAATAAATAATAGATGGGTAAATGGTATAACTGAAATGATGAATGTAAGGCTTCCTTGGATAAGCGTACCATTTTGTTTACAATACCTTTAAAAAAGTAATCGTCCCCCATACTGGTGACATTAACTCAATTTTTCAATGCTATTATATACTGTACTGACCTTTCATTTCCAAAGACTCATACCACCAAACATCACGAGATTCTCCTGTGCATTCGACAGGGAATTGCAAGTCCCGATCTGGAGGTAAAGTATATTCAGTTTTAATTATTATGTAATGTTTCAAATAGTGAGGAAACTGCCTTTAAAACCACTTTTCGGCTTTTAAATGATCGGCAGGAAAAATTTCACAAATTGGGACAATTTTGAGATTTCACCGAAGCAAATTGAAGAAAATCAAAGGCAAAGCCAGATTATCACTGGCGAGCGCCTCCCACTCGTGGAGCCTTGGCTTGATAGCTAAAATCATTTTGATATCATTTACTACAGCAAACGATGGTCCGAATCTTGCTCATTGCCCTTTTCGTGGCTTTTATTGACCTAGAAAAGCGGAAACATAAAAATTATATAGAAAAACAGTACGCTGGCGCGCGTGCAACATTGATCAAAGACCCTATGGAGCCTCCTTAAGGTGATTCCTTAGTATTGCACTGCACATCCTCTGCTGGAGATACCATGACCTTTAGCTTTTGAACGAGTATGGTGTCCTTTATATTTATTTTATTCTTTTATTTTTTTTTTTTTTTTTCGCATAATTTTGGTGTACACGTTATCAACCAATCAGAACGTTCGTAATATAGAAATACGGACATGTAATTATAGCAGCCGCTATTCAGGCATGACCGCTTGAACAATGGCTGGACCTTTTATAAACTTCAATTGTGTTTTCGGTTTCAATATCATGTTAAGTTATTCCTGTGGTTTCTTTCGGTGCCATGATGAAAGTAGATACTTTTGAATATTCTGTTCTAACTGTTTAGGGATTTAGAGAGAAGTTTGCGAATATTAGCTTTTATTCAAACCGGCAGTGAATCTGAGTGAATCTAGTCTATGAAATGAAGTCATCAGATCTTCAGCGAGAACTCAAATGAAAGGGACGGTCAGGTGAGTATATTTCATACAGCTGCCTTCTTTCAGATAATTTGTAAGTTTAGTTTGCTGATGGCAAGGCAAGTTTGTTTCCTTAGGCTTTCTGAAATTGTTCACTCAATCGGTACATACTCATATTATCTTTTTCTTTGATTTTATTGTTACAACTATCACATTAACTCACCCTGTTGCGAATGATTTTGAAATGTCTTTGAACACAGATGCATAAATGATTTCGACTTTCGAATAGTTTCGGTAGCGATTCTGTTCTTACACGTATATGGTAATGAATAAAGGGAAAGTCCAACTGGTCCAACGGTAGTGTAAGAAGAAATATATGTACAGCAAACTTTTGCGTGTTTGACCCAGTGCGGAATGCAGTCTGAGAAACCGTTTCGAGTACAACTGGTTTTGAATTTGCTATGGTTATGCCCTCGCATGAGCGACTGCGGATTTTAATTCTAAACATTCCTGCGCCATGAAACTTAATTCATGTAGAGAGTGAAAGAATATCAAACGCCGATAAAATTTTGAACGGTCTGTGTACGACACAACCATAAAAGATGAAGAGATTGCCAAGACGTATGTTCGTTGTTAACAACAACAGCTCAAGTTAAATTTTCTCTTGAAAGTTAATTAGTCAGGCTAAAACAAGACTTCCAGTCCTTCTTTTTAAATAATGGCAACATTCACATTTAAAATAAGTTATGACTGAAAGTGTTTTTTTTTTATTTTTTTGAAACTTGGTAATAACAGTCCTGGGTTTATAGTCGAACTTTCGTTTGGAAAATCAGCAGATGCAGAGAAATTTCGAGGAATGTAGCGACGGTCATTTATGGTTAGAACGTTGTATTGCTTATAGCATGCAGCTGGGCAGCCTGCTTTGCCAAATATATTAGTGTAAATTGCGTATATATTTCAACAAAATAAAGCATATCGTAAACTAATCTTAATTTAATTTTACAGGGAACATACGCACCCTCTCCGAAAGGCTCGAATTAGCAAGATACTCGAGTGGCCTGCGCAAGATGAGCCCGAAAGCAAACATCGAATGCTAAGAAATCCCTTGCCGTTCATACACATCTATATTTATGGAATATTTCCAACGCGTTAAATGGTCTTTGAAGGGAAAAGTATACATGCGGTGCATGCAAACTTTCATGCTTGGTTTTCAACGGCCGCCATCTTTGCTTCGTCATTAAACGTATTTTTGTCAAATGTAAATTGTAGAGCTGTTGTTCACTTAGAAACTTTCAGTCTCTCTTGACAACTCCTTAAATTACAACCTCGAACTTGGAAAAATAAATCATCCAAATCAAGTTGTATAAATGTTAGTATTTTGATCGGAATGAGGAGAGAGAGGTTTCGTTATCTCTCTCTCTCTCTCCCTTAGTTTCAATTTTCTACCGAACTCGTTTCGCCAAGCTTGAACTGGAATGATTTGAGCATGTATCTCTAACAAAGACTGCTTTCTTTCTTTGTGATAATCTGGAGAAAGGGTTCTCCTGCTGTACAATATTATTACAACATGTGTGATGCTGGCTTCGATTGCGTGCAAAAGCAAACATGGTGAAGGATGTACTTTTTATTTGCGAACTTGAAATCATATCAAGGCTGACAAAATACAACTACACTTTTGAGTCAACTCTTGTCTGAAAATCTGCCTAGTAATCCTTTTTATTCTAATTTTTAAATATTTCTCTCTGGATATGACAGATTTTGAAAGATATCCCAGCATATTTTAACCCACCATATGTAAACCAAATTCAAAGGGTATAAGTTTTAAATAATTATTTGTACCATGAAGACAAATCTTAGAAGCATATAACACAATTCTCACTCTCTCTCTTTTATGAAGCTTCTTTTAAGGTATAATTGAGACTGTTTTGTTTAAGTTACCTTGAGGGTCCACATGAAATCGCTGCTTGAATTGATGTAATTTATAAAAACACTTCAAGAACACACACCAGAGAAGCCACAACAATCCAACTAAACCTCTCCTCAGGATGTGACCGATAGCCATAACCACTCGCTGAATGAGACTTTTGTTTTCCTTTTTCAAGCCTGTTTTGAGTGCGCGATGTGAATCAAAGCAAAAATGCTTAGTTTGCATATCACGATAAGGTTGTGTCTTAAGAAGCTTCTAAACGAGACAGGCGAAAAGGCAACGCCTTTCATTTTCATGGCAAATCTTGAGTGGCATCCAATTGACCTCAGACGTGATTTTTGATTCGCCATATGGTGTGCCAAATTTGCATGCGTTCTGCTTAAAATAAATCACGTTTGCAACTTGCAGCACTTTAAGTGGTATGCCTCCTTCTTTTAAAAATATCTACGTGCTTTATTTTAGGCTATTTTCGCAGAATTATTATTTTCATAAAGCGTTTTCTAGATGCGTCTCACATTTCTATGCATATAGTTGGTTTTATGTCTGTATGCCATCAGATGCATGGTGGCATAAGCGGTATGCCTCTTTGTTTAGCCTACGTGTAGCCGTACCCTCCTTCCCAGGGTGAAATGGAAACGTTTTGCTCAAAATAAATCACTTTTACAACTTGCAACAATTTAAGCGGTATGCCTCCTTTTATAGCCTACGTGTAACCGTACACTGTAAAATTAAAAGAGTTGATTTGGCCCCAAAAATGGGGCCAAAACGAGTGAGTCCAGTTTGGTACTCGCTTAGGGTCAATTCGGCCCCATTGAAATGGGGCTGTTTTTGGCACCAATTTTGGGGCTGAATCGATCCCGTTGTAGGGGCCAAATTGGACCACGTGAAGGGTGAATTTGAAAATACAGGGGCTACTTTGAAATTTATAGGGGCCAAAACAGCCCTCAAAATTTCAGCCCTCTCACAAATGGCCCCTTTAAAAAGAGTCAATTCAGCTCCAATGTGGGCCACTTCAAAAGTAGAGGGCTCTTTCCTCTCCATACTGATTTTCCCCCTTACAGTCAAATAATGAAAATACACCATATACTTTATCTTTCAAACACTCATTTATTAGGGTCTAGATATTGTTTATGTAAAAACCTTTTACACTACTTGATTTTACAGTTATTAAGAATCTTAATTGTGGTATAAAACAGACAAACTTTGAAACATCATGTGAAAGAATAGAACATACATACATATTTAACATTAATTCAACCATTTTCTAAAATAGATCTCTTCCCTAAATCAGTATACTTCTTAACAGTGCAAGCATTGCAAGAAATTACACCCAAGAGACACTTGTGAGTAAAGCTTCCCTTTTCAATGACTTAGCACATGTGGTAATGTAAAACAGCTTATAATCAAAACTGATTTAAAGTACAGAAAATTATCAAAATAAGACAGAGGCAACAAATGGTCCAGTTCCTGCACAAGAATATAGATCTTGTTTGATTTGTGCATATGAAAAACAAAGAGCCTTATGGCAGTATAGAGTATTCTTCCAGTGGATGTGAGAACACATGCACTCATATTGCTACTTTAGATATTATCAAAATATAAACTGTCAGCAAGTACTACCTCAGGCATTTGCCAAGTCATTGAAAACAGAGGAAACAGTGACAAGAGTCTGCCTGTGCCCAATTTCAAGCAATGCTTGCTCTAAAAAAAGTCAAAATTGCCTTTGACCAATTGTAAGAAAAATTGAAAAAATATGAGCCAAGTAACCCAATGAGAACATCAAGAATCTTTTATTGTGAGAAGTGACAAATTACACTTCCCTCTGTTACTATATTCAGGAGATTGATGTATTGAAGATCTCCAACAATTAAAATTTGTGCTGGACATAATCTCTGATTGCTGAATCAACATCAGCTACTCTATGCAATAAAAACAAGTTTTACAACCACATTAAAATCAAGCCAAAGCGCAAAAAGTGCCTGTAGCCAGTAAAAAAGAAAGAATATATATATACACATAAGTTAAAGAATTAAAGAGGACGCATCAATACTCTGTGACTGAGTTTCGTGCCTAGGCGCTCGTCCGACAGAAAAGTTCTGTCGGACAAGCGCTTAGACGCGAAATTCAGAGTCACAGAGAATCGATGCGTCCTCTTTAATTCTTTAACTTATGTATACTTAGCTCTGCTACCACATCATCGAGCACTTTATGCCAAGGTAGACTCTACCCCCACATTTATATATATATATATATATAATTATATATATATATATATATATATATATATATATATATATATTATGAGAGGAAAAAACGACGCAACTACATATCCCGACAAGCCTGTTTCGTGAATCGCTTCACTCTTCAGGGGTTTAATCATTAAACCCCTGAAGAGTGAAGCGATTCACGAAACAGGCTTGTCGGGATATGTAGTTGCGTCGTTTTTTCCTCTCATAATATTTATTCTGCTCTGCTTCAACGTATTGAGCACTGTTCCACGCGAAAATCGACTTGCAGACTTCCTATATATATATATATATATATATATATATATATATATCATCCGTTTAAAAAAAAAAAGCTATCCGTTTAAATTTCCACGGAAAGCTTTGGACTGTTTGCCTATCATTCTGATACGGGTAGTTCGAAGTATCAATCTTACGTTCGCTCGATACTCGCCGGTTCTTGAAATACAGAAAGACCGTATCTTATTTTGGTTTTATCTTTTGCGTGATCATAGTAAGCGAGTTTCCGTCGCATCCTTTGACAAACAAATTAAGTTGAAATATCCGTTTGTAAAAACCAAGAGCATCGAGAGCCAATTGCAATGAAGCCATTCATTTGACCATGACCCTGCCATCGACTTTGATCGATCAGAACAGTGCGCCTGATCTTGATTACAGATTTAGTGAAATCGAGGTAACCCTCTCTTGGTTCCCGTCTCATAGTTTTAAATTGTTCCTAATTGATGGACTGCTAAATCGGCTACTCTCTTTCTGTTTATATCATCTTGATTCATCTTTCTTGGTTTTATTGACAATCATTTTAACGGCCCCGCTCGGTGCGTGACACCGATTCGACCTTTTATTTGCAATGGAACTTCATTGCGTTATTTGACCTTGAAACGTTTCGGCTTTAGACAAGGCGGTGGCATTGCATATGCATATTTGTTTCGCGAAACTTCCGAACAGGAAAAAATGAAGTTCATTTTCAATAATAATAAGAATAAACAAAGGAGAAGATTATGAGTTTCTCGCAGTAGCCGTTCAGGATATTCGGCAGCGAAACTATTCTCAGTAAATTGCGCTTATTTCATGAATGTCACACGAAAGCGGCAGTACTTAACCCAGAAATAAAATGCGCAAGTATATGCTAGCTATTATTTTTCAAATTATCATGCTCAATGTTTTCGCTTTGAAGGATAATTATCCGTTGTCACTCCGAAAGTTTTTCCGCAGAAGATCTCGCCGGCTCAATCACAGCCGTTAAACATCAATTTTTAGCTCATCGTTTGTCGATTTTGGTCAACCGTTTCTCGGTTTAAGCTATCCGTTTTTGGACTTTGGTCAACTGTTTAACGTTTCGGGCTGACCGTTTTTATTTTTGGTCAACCGTTTAACAGTGTGAGCTATCCGTTTTTGAACTTTGGTCAACCGTTTAACGTTTCGTGCTATCCGTTTTTATTTTTGGTCAACCGTTTGAAGGCCTAAGCTATCCGTTTTTGGACTTTGGTCAACCGTTTAAATTTTTTGCGGTTATGGCATCCCTTTAAACGCTCGAGTTAGCCGTTTATTATCCGTTTACATCCGTTTTTCGAGACCGTTTAACGGAAAAGCGTTAGTGTCCGTTTTCCCATGGAGGGTCACATATATATAATGTTTTTCTAAAAACCATAAACTAAAACACCAGAAATGGAAATTCACCACCACAAAATTGTCTCTCTTCACTGCAAGCAGAAGAGGTGAAGCAATAGATTTTTAAACCAAACCAATCAATTCAGTTTCCAAGTCAACTTAGTCTAGTATCCTGCTTGCCATACAAGGATACTCTGCAATAATTTTTTTTTGCAATCCACTGCTGCTCAGAGTACTTTAGGCTGCTGATGAGATATCCCTTCTGGATATCCAACTCTACTGAGGCAGAGAACTGTACAAAAAAACAAACAAATGAGCAAATTAATTTGTTGTTGGAGAACAGTAAATTTTTGCAACTACAAAGTTGCAAAATATTTGTAAGCAAACTGTGCATAAGAAGTAAAAACACAATAAATGTGGTCATCAATGACGTATTTCCACCAAACTGTCTATGTACTTATCAAGAAAAGAAATCATAGCTCTATACACTTCAGTTTTAGTTCAGTATTCATGAATAAATAAGGATTGCTTGTAGACTTAAAAAACAAAACAAAGAAAAGTTTCTTATAATTACCCTCGATGGTAGTTGGAATTTTGAAAGCCATCCAGGAGGAACCTGTAGGTAAATATTTGTTTTCAAAAAAATTAAACTGTCTGATAACATCCTATCAATTCACTAATTAAACATTGGGTTTACTTCTTTTTATGCATGGTGCAAGTAAATACATATCTAATATATTTCAATAAAAATAAAGCAAATCTCGTAATTTTTGTAGGTGCAATCCCCGAGATTTCTCATCTTTAACTGACCAACTGGCACCTTGTGTGTTTTCCTTTGGGATATAATCGAAAGAAAGTAATCGATAATGTACTCTTCACCATCCTGCTAAGTTTAATATACAAGAACTTACTTAGACAGTACTCAGTTCTGTCGCCTCGTCCGTAAAACAGAGATCCTTGGGCGATTTACCCTTTTCTTTCGGTGCCAATGTCACCTCTAAATTTTCACAATCGCTGATGTTATCTGAATCATCAATCGACGTTTGAACCGTCTTAATCGAAGGACTTGATTCTGCACGCTGAAAGAGAGAGAGCCAAAAAAATCAGCTTAAGTGGATGCAAACAAAGACATAGACATAAAAATATCAGTTCATCTTTTCAAGAAAAAGATTAAGAACTCAGAGTGAGAGATCCTAAAATCAGAGAATCTTGAAATAAGTTAAATCCATCTTGTGCAAATGCAGTATTCGAACTGTAACCGTCTCTATCTCTCGTCGCCAAAATTTGATCAAGTGACTTTAATTGTGAAACCGCTGGGACTCAACAAGACTCGGGAGAAGAGGCGAACCATTCATGCGTCAAATTTTCTGGTGGGAAAATTAATTATCGTACCGACGAAGAACTCGTGTCATCTCTAGGTTCAGCGTTCATTGCAATCAATTTCTTGAACTTTAGACGCTCTTTTATAATAGGGATGTAGTGCCTTGGTACGTCTGCATCTTGGGCGATGGCAAGGAGATCTTGGCCATCGCAACTGTCCTTTTCTGCAAGATAAGATACGAACAAAGATCAATGGAGCGGTCAAGTTTGTGTATGTAAAGTTGCAGTAAAATGCGTTGTTAGGAAATTTCTTTTGTTTACCTTTCCTTTCTTAAGTCTCATTCCATGCGACTATAGCCAAGAAACAGCCTCTTCACTGATGAATTCGCTGCTATAATTCATTATTGTTTCCGACGCACGTGGTCTAGGTTCGACTTATGCGATCACAGGCGGCCCACGCTCACGTCTCGAGAAAAAGCCAACGATTAATTCGTTGTGTGACTCGGTGTTCAGTTATGAGAGGAACCGTTGAAAATTTGAACACGTTTTAAGGAATAGTGTGGGAAACGAAATATGGTCGAAAAAAGAAAATTATTTTTATATTCTTTTTTTTTCAAAAATTGCACCTCGTTGGGGCCAAATTGTTCAATCCTACTTGGCTCTTGGAAGGGCCAAATTGAGAAAAAGTTCCAAAGTAGAATTCATAGAGGCCAATTCAGATTTTGGAGGGGTCGAAATGATATCTGTCCCACCCGTTTGGCTTTTGGGGTCAATTTGGCTCTTTTCATTTTACAGTGTACCCCCCTCCCAGGGTAAGATGTAAGCGAGAAAAAGTCAGCGAAAACTTATCGTGTTATGACGTCACTCTTTTTTCAGACAACAGCGATCTACGAGGTGGTTTTCAGACAAATTTTGTGAGACTTTTGGGATAGAAACATTTTAAGAAGAACAACAGAAAACCATATATATCTGTTTTTCGAAGGTAACGATGTCTCCGTTTCGTTACCAACTGGCTGTGGAAAATCTTTAATATATTAAGCAGCACCAGTAATCAATCGGTTTTCTAGAAGAAACCGGTCTCAACTTCAGCCGCACAAACTCCACCACATCCCTCCCCTCCCTCAATCTCTAACCCTTCAACTAATTTCATCCTACGCACGAGGAACTTTTGTTCTCGAGACTCTCATGACTTGCAGCTGAAACGGAAAAAGATATTGTGCTTTGTAATCATAACAAAAGAATTCTAATTAAAATTTCATTCTTCACTCTCATTTTAAATGTGTTATGCGAATGTCGGCGTCGTCATTGGAAAACAACGAACTACCTAGCGTTTTTCCTCTTTAACTCAAGTTGGATGCCACTATTTTGAACTTTCAACATTGAATATTTTGACGGGATTAAGACAACGGTAAGCTGAAACTTACTTGCGGGCAGGTTCTCGTAAAATCAAGTCGTGGGAGGAAACCAAATCACCAGCAGGCGTTAAGGACAGTGTTCCTTGAATAAGTTGTACTATAATTTTGGTTGATGGTAAGACATTTTGATATAAAACTGGGCAGTTTGACTTGTGATGAATTGCGATGTTTGGTGAACTTGAAACCTAAAGCACGAGTCTCTGAAACAGTTAAGTAATAATTTAAGATCTGAAACGTCTTGAGACATTTTAGGAATGAGAGAGAGGGCTCGAAGGCTTTCTGGCCGAAGCTCTTATAAACAATTTGAATTCCAACCGAATCAATCACTATGTAGACATTTTTGACGAGTGCCGGACGTTCTACATGCGTGACTGTAGAGAAATATCCGGTCCTACTGTCACTGAAAATGTAAATATTTCAATGATCGTAAGATGTTTGAGTTAATTGATCGGAGCTCTGAAGTGCAATTTAACCGTTTCTGAATGAGAAGGAAAAGCCCTAACGCATTTTAAAGTTCTTACAGCTTGAATTCCAACGGAATCGATCGCTCAGTCTGTAGGCAGCCCTGATCTGCTGACAAATGTCACGTTTTGTTCAAGGCGTGGAACAAAAGAATTTTCCAGTCTTACTAACAAGAATGTATATACTTCAATAGCCGTAAGAAGTTTGATCTATACAAACAAAACCGTGATATCATTGGAAGCTATATCAATATTCTGATAATTGTCCTCAGGTCCATATATTCAAAATACAGTCGGCTTTCTCTTTTCTTTGTTAGTAGAGGAAGTAGAGTTATTTACCAATTTGACCATTTATACACAGCAACCCTGTATTGAAATGGTATTTAGCAAACTAATTCACAGAAGTAGACAGTCATTGCTTGTATAGTCATATTAAGTAAGGTATCGAGAGTGTAAGAGTGCAAGCCTAAGCAAAGTAAATTATTTATCGGAATTATCAACTCAATAACCAATATCAGACAAGTGAGACTGAAGATTTCAGTCTTCTAAGTGTTGCATGCACATGGGGTAAGACACCCTATTTACTTTAACAATCTCGTGGGGAGAATATATTCTGGTCTAAGATTTTCTGCCCCAATGTGTAATGAAGCTATGCCATTAAAATTACAAACGCATAAATTAAAATGTAAGGAAAACAGAATTAGAAATAAAGGTGTATTTGATTAAAATAGTAATTGCACTACACCTTTCTCTGCACTTTTAAATACAATGAATTTTAATTGAGATATATTCCCATGACATTTTAAAAGCTGAAGCAAATACATCCAGGATTAATAATTGGAGAGGTATTGGTCCACTGAGAAGAGAGCCTAGTCAAGCTGGGAAATGTTTCTCAACCAAAATAAGCTCTGAACTGAAATAAGAACATTATACTGGCACCTAACTGCTTCTTTGTCGACAATTTTCCTTTTAATTAGCTTATTGTCACTTCATCCAGGCAATAAGAGTTTAAAACTATAGTCTTAAATTCTTTCAGTGGTATATCCAGCTCACAACCTCAGTCATTTAATTAAGTCCTTTTTCCTAACTGTCAAGGTAGCCTATTTCCAGTCATCCAGAAGAACAAAACGTGATAACATTTTAATTACATTCTTTCTTTTTGCTACCAAACTTCAAAACACTGATACACCTTCATGAAAAGTGATTCAAGGTGAATGGCTATTTTTTCAGGAACAATCCCTCCTAAACATGGATAGGTAGACACTCAATTCAATGTGCTATGGAGCCAAAGCGACTGAAAGGAACAGTTATTAATTTTCCGACATTACAGTGTGCATGACGATACGAACGAAGTCCACGCTTATGATAATGTAAGATTACGAGACTTTGAAACGCATTTTGTAAATACATATTTGGGTACCCACCGACCAAAATGATAATTCAGTCTATTCAAAATAAAGCGTTGTTTTGTTTGTTTAACTTCAGCTGCGCTACCACATCATAGTGCTTAATTTATAGCCATCATGCTTTCTGCAAACGCTTCGTTATTTCGAGTCTGATAGAATCGTTTAATGCTGAAATGATAGACCTGAGATTTGACCGATTGACATGAAGAAAAGGCTGACGCACCAGAACGAAGAACTTTCCATCAATGCGAAGAAGCTACTAGAATCCTGCAATTTCTTGTTGGTCCATGCGATGAAAATCAATTGCAAGTGTTGAAGAAGGTAATCATGATTTATTTTAAGGAGAATCAATTTTCAGTATCTCGCCGAGCATTTTGAAATTAAAAAACGCTAGGTATTTGCTTCGGTTGTTTGGAATTCTCGAGGACAACTTAATTGGCAGCATTTTGATCTGAAGGAAAGGAGTATTTACACATTATGTAAATAATTGTTGAAGTCGATTGTCAGTTATGCTTGCAGCCGTTCTATTTTGGGTTAACAATAGTAGTGAAATCACTTAAAATTATATGCAAAGTTTCCATGAACAATGATCTTAGGATGTTCCATTTGTTCGCGATATATCTTATTTAAAGAAGGCCAAATTTCAAGTTTATCCGACATTTTCAAAATTGCACAATTCTATATACCTAGGGCTTATATCGATGAACGGTCAAAAAATTAAGGTTCTAAAAAATATTAGAATCCTCTTGCTTATCTTTTGGTAGCTATTAAAGCTCAGCTTAGAGGCTTTTTAAAATTATAAAAATTTCATGTGTCAAATATTAAACATAATACGCTACAATCTTTCAGAGGAAACGTTCACTATTCGTATGGCTTTGTATTTTGATTATTTCATCTTCTTCACCACACGAGGTACGTCAAGAATCTTTCTAGAAATTATAGAGACTGAACTATTATCACATTTGAATGTTTATCAACTCTCCTTTTTCCCTCTCTATTGTCGGTCTAAAAAAACACACGACTTGACTTACTATTTTATTTGAATGTTTTGGTCATTATAACAACAGTCCTCACTGCTCATGAAACAGTCATCTGTATAATTCTTCCAAAAAGTTAGATCCGTTCATTGCCATTTGAATGATTGATCCGTAAATATATTGCTTTAAGAGAACTAACATTATTGAACGAGCAATATTTTGAAGAGAATAAGAAGAGATTACATTTATTTTGTCTCTGAAAGATCGCATAAAAATTATCTCAGAGTAAGTGTGTCTGCTGACTGTTCTCAGTCTTCTGTGCAACGCACAGGAAATTTCAATTCTGCAAAGCAATGGGGAAAGAGAGAGTTAACTAGGACAAATTTGCCGGATTAAATCACCATCATTAACACGTATAATGATTTATTTCATATATATGTTTAAGGGTGAAGCCTTCTGAAAAGCATAAAGAAGTGGTCTACCCAGTTGTGTGCAATGGGTGCGGTGTATTACGTACAGCATAATAACGAAACATGGACAGGAATCTTTGCTTTCGTGCACTACATCTTTCTATATTGTATAGAAACTTTGAAATTTAACAGCATGTTGATTGTTTTATGCAAAGTAAGGGCACGAAATAGACTCAGCAGATGCTAGAAATTTCTTATCATTTTTGAATATACACTTTTAAGAGTCTGGTTGCATGGCTGATTTAGCAATGGAAGCCATGTTTGCTTTGCGTAACCGCCACGTGGCGAAATGTTAGCGCCACAATTAAGCGACGCTAAATGTAGAAGAGTTCTTCACAAAGTTAAGAGCAAGTATTTACAATGTAGATCAATCCGACAATCATATTTGAAATGTGGTGTGTGTGTTTCACGATGTTTTTGTATGATGTAGAGGACTGCCTAAAGCCTCTTAGCCGTAATCACGGTGGTGCAAATGCTTCAATGAAGGAAGATTAACACCGTCACTCTCTTACGCCAGCATCGTCGAAGAAATTTAGAACATCACTTTCGAGAAGGAAGATGAGAACGACACGAGTTTAAGCTGATATTGAATAATTTACCTTCGTTAAATCCCACCATGGACTGGATGAATAGTTATAGTTGAAGTTATATTTTCAG